CACTGGTAAAGTTTTCTAGTACTTTTTTCCTTTATTTTTTTTTCTGCTTTCACTCATCAATTTCATCATTCTTTCCAAATCTTCCTTAACCAAAACCCAAAAAAAAGGGATTTCATTCATTTGCTTCACTGAAGTCTGTTCTATTTGTTGCAAATTTTTTTTTCTTTTTTCTGCCAACAACAGTCATATATGGATGCATTGTTTTGTCAGACTAAAGAAGAAGAGGAAGTAAGTTGTCGTTCTTCCGACGAAGATGCCGATAAAGTATAAACTGCTGTTCTGAAACTCTTTGGCTAAAACTGTTATCGATGATATCAGCTCGCTAAAGCAACGGCATATATCATCGTTGCGTCCTCAACAATGTTATCATTTCGTTTTCATCCCATTTCCATCAGCTCCTAAAATTCCCTAAAAATATTTTTTGTCATTACTTCTACCGCCATCGGTATCATCGTTGTGTATGCTGAACAGAAATTCTTCGAAGTTTAAACTGCAGAAGAAAAAAAAAAAAACGAAAAAGGATGTTTAGCATATTGTCAATCTCGTTAAATGAATGAATGAACAACGAAACAGAAAAAAAAAGAACAAGTGAAAGAACAAGTTAATGGGTGAATGAATGATTGGGTAAATGAGCGAACAGATAAACCTCTCTCTGTGTTTGTGTGAATATGTATAATGTAGTCGGACACATACGGCTTCAAAAAAATTGTTTTCTCGATCTTCGTTTTTTTTTCTCCAGTATTTTCTTTTTTTCTCTTATTGTTTTTCTTTTCTGTTTTATTCCACAAAAACAATTTGCTGACAATTTGTTGCTATGAAGTTTCGAAAGTCCTTAACCAACAGGGAAAAAGCCACTTAAATTCTTCTTTTTCCTATTCCTTTCCGTACTCAGTTCTTGGCTCTGTTGATAGACGAGGTAACTAATTTCACAATCATTTCGACAAAAATGGCATCAGTGAGCGCAGCGAAGAAACAGAAGGAGGAAGAGGAGACGAAGAAGGAGAGAGGAGAAAACTTGGAGGAAAAAGTGATTAAGATAAATTTTCTAGAAACTGTAATGTCAAGAAAATTCAATTTTTTCTTGCCATTTTCCTCGTCTTCTTTAGTTTCCCTTTTACTTCAGGCTCCTCCTCCTGGAAGACCGGGGTTCTCAGCTGATATGTACAACTCATATTTACGTATGTTTTACTGTGTTTTTCTTTCTTCTTTTGCTGCCATTTCTTTTGAACAGTCTCAAGGTTGAGTTTTCAGTTTTGCATAACTAAAATCAACAATTACCAAATTGCATTTCTTTTAATTATATAAAAATTGCTGCTTTTGTTTTTGTTATTTTTTTTTGTTTGATATAAGCTATAAAAAAAATGTCTATTGAACTGTCAAGACGGGAAAAAAACTGTTTTTTCTTTGTTGTTATTCATCATAACTTAAAAAAATTTCTCCTCTAATTTTATTAGTTTGTGAACAAAGATGAAGAAAAGTAAAGAAAACATTAAAGGTTACAAGTTGGTTAAGTTAAGAAGAAATTTTTTTGCATTATAATTTCGTCTATTATTAGCAGCTTGGATGTAATCATCCATATTTGGTTAGTTGATTGTTATTGTCGTTGTTGTTGTTTCAGCGTTACTTTCAGCTTCAGTTTCAACCTTTGCTTCAACTTTTTCTTTCCCTTTCTGTGTTGTCGTTGCTGTATAGTGATGGTGGTTGAAATTAAGTTTTTGTTTTTTTTTGTTAAATTCCAAACTCTCAAAATTTGAGTAAACTTCAAAAAATGTTGAATTTCTGACTCTATCATTTGCTTCCTTACCAAGTTTTTCAACGAAAAGGTTATATTGGATGAAGGGAGTTTGGGGAGAGATAGAGGGAGGATGAGATGGATGAGGAAGGGGCGATGAAAAGAAGACGGAAGGAAAATTTTCCTCTTCACCAATAAATAAATGGATGTAGAAGATGGTTGAGAATAGGTTTCAGGTTATTTATTATTGAACATACAATCCATGGAAGTTGCGATAATTAATCACACTGCACAATCATTAGCTTCTTCGTTTCGGGTTCTTTTTTTCTTTTTGCTATTTTTTCTCAGTTTTCCTTCTTGGTGAGATGGAAACTGATCCTAAGGCAAAAGGGTTAACTGAGTGATTTTGATGTCTTCTATTCCATTTTAGCAGCTAGATGGCTACATCACTTTTTCCGATTTTTTTGTGACTTTGGTATACAGCTCAGTGAATTGATCTATAATACTTGTAAATAACTTCGTACTGAATTGATGACTGGAAACAATACGCGCGTGCCAAAGGTCTTTTGTTTCTGGTTCATTTCTGCATTTCAAAAAACTGACTTAGATCTGAAAACACAGTACCACCATACAGTTAGTAACTACCATTCGCATGTGTTGAATGGTGACGATGTTAACAAGCAAACTGATGAGCAGGAAAAACAAAACTATAGCATAAAGTAAAATTCATTTTTCTCTCTTGCGAACACAGTAATCTTAAACTAATCGTCTTCTCGTTCGTTCTTCATTTTTTCTTTTTCTTTTTTTTTATTTAAGCAAAAACAGGGAAAGAAGGAGCAAAAATTTTGAAACTGTTGCCGCGTCTGAGAACAGATGTCACAGTAAAATTGTCGCAACTATTTTTGGAAACTGTGATTTTGCTCGTTTTTGTTCTTGACGATTTTTCTTACGGTTTTTTAATCTGTATTTAGCTTCTTTAAAAAAAAGACTTCAAAGAAATACCATAAGTAAAGCAGAAACAGAAACACAGGTATTTCACTCCTCTTTTTTTTTTTTCAATTTTTAAGTTTTTTAAAATACTTATTTGGACAAATAGTCATATATCAGGATCATTTAAGCAGTTCTTAGTTTCTTCATTCGTTTACTCCTTTTTTTCGCCATTATTTTATTCCAACGCAAAAAGAAAGAAGGAAGGAGGAGAAAAAGAACAAGAAAAAAGACGAAAAAAGTTATCTTAGAGAAAAAAAGGTAAAAAACTGAAGCAGATAAATTTTTTTTATTTTTTGGAGACGATTTTATTTGCGTATAAATCGGCTTTTGCTCTATTTGATTACCAGAAGGGAAAAAGAGGGAAAGGAGAGAAAGATGAGAGTAGTTGAAGTGCAAGTAACCATCAGGAATCTATCTATTGCCTACCATTTTCGATCATCCTCTGTTCTCGTTTCGAAAGTCCAGTTTTTCCTGCTACCGCTGCTGCTACTTTTCTGCTTTATCGATATTTTGCGTATTCTTCTTCTAGAATTTCCTTTTTTTACAGTTCCAAAAAATTTTTGTCAACAAGATTATTGCCTTTCTTACAGCAAATTTATTATAGTAATTTTCAGCTTATTTTTTATGTTTAATTGTTCTTTATATTGTCATCTACGAGATAGTAATTT